CCCCCCCGCCCAGGGTCACGGCACGGTGGGACCGACGGACAGCCACTGCGGGCGAGGCGGACGGACTCCATGGCCCCGGCAGAGCTGACAGCCAGGTCTGCCCAAAAGACAACCATGCGTTTTCAAAAGGTAAAAAGTTTCATTTCAGAACATCCAATCTCAGTGTTCCCAGAATGAAATATTTTGCTGATGATGTTCTGGCAGATCTAATACAGTTTGTGTTGGAAAAGAAAAGAAATAGGCATTACGTTTATCCTGGACTCTTGACTTGCTTCACTCCCCCCAGAAATTCAATGTTCTAAAAAAATACACTACAAAAAAAAAAAAAAAAAAAATCAGTCATTTCAGAACATCCAATCTCAGTGTTCCCAGAATGAAATATTTTGCTGATGATGTTCTGGCAGATCTAATACAGTTTGTGTTGGAAAAGAAAAGAAATAGGCATTACGTTTATCCTGGACTCTTGACTTGCTTCACTCCCCCCAGAAATTCAATGTTCTAAAAAAATACACTACAAAAAAAAAAAAAAAAAAAATCAGTATTAAAAAATTGCTCCTTTGAGAAGGCTGGCCCCCATTTTCTGTTTTCCGTGGTTCCCAGCAGTGTGTCAGCGTGTGCAGGAGAGCCCCGGGCGCGGGACCGGCACCGAGATGGCAGATCCAGGCGAAACCGTGACCTGTGCTTCCTCAGTAAGGCCAGGGCCCTTCCAGCGCGTTTAGCCAGAGGCAGAAGCGGTAGCGGCAGTAACACCCCGTAGCTCTGCCGTCTTTCTCAAACCTCCCTCCCAGCCCTGCGGAGGGTCGACAACCCCGGCTCCGACATCCCCATCCCGAGCAAACTCCTCCAACGGGCTGCCCAGGTCACGGCGTATCAGGCTGGCAATGCCGCCTGAAACACGACAGCAGATACACAGATACATGACATTAAATGTTTCCTTGCTCAGTAAAGAAAATGCCTGCCAGCCACCAGGAGCAACTCCGTACGGAGCAGAGAATTAACTGCCGGTCTGGGGCTCTCAATGGCTTCGTCTGCAGTGGAACTGGAAGCCATAAAAGTGAGCTAAGGGCAATCATAGCAACAATTTTATACATATAAATGTAAAAACCCCAAGTACTCAAAATGCAAATTCTGACAGGATGTTAATAAATTACAAGCTAGTCTGGTCTGATTAATGCCATGACAAAATTACTGCACGCTTGGCGTTTCCAGGCCCACGGGTTAAAGGAGTGATTGCCTGTTTCAGCTCTAGTATCAAGCCGGGGGAGCACGGCTTCCCCCCGTTTGCAGAGGGCACGCTGCTCGCTGCTGGGCGAGGCCAAGGGACCCGCTCCCGCAGAGGGTGCTGGGCTGGAGCACCCACGCTCAGGCTCTCCAGCGCTGCCCGCACCGTGCCC